TGCCTTGAAAGCTAGAGCTGGTACATATTTTCAGGTGGGTTGGTCCATTATATATATATATATATATATATATATATCTTATCTTTTACTTTCAAAATTAATGAGCATTTTTGCTTCTTTATGTCATTTCTTTTTCCCATATGAATCACATTAATAACAAGTCTCTAACATTGACCAAGTTTGACTCAATCTGTGTTTGATATAGACTGCATATGAGATTCAAAAGACAAATACAACAAAATAGAGACTATATATCTTTTTATATTTGATCAAGCCACCATGATGGGTGATAAGTAGCACACACTGAGGGCAGTGGTCCTCTTGCTGTGGTCCATCCTCAGAAAAATGGTCAAGTAGTAGTAGGCTCAGTCAGCTAATAAGAAGCACACTGCACACTGGCGCAATTTAGCACACAGCTTAGAAGAAAATACTTAGGTTTTTTTCCTTCTGGTTTATTGTCCTCTTCTGAAAATTCTAATGCATCTCGGTAACTTGCGCCTGCTGTGCTCAGCGCCTAACCTGCAAACCATGCTCTATAGCCTGACTTCCCGTGAACAAATTGTTCTTGGGGCCAGGCGCACGTTAGCACTCATGAAGCTGCAATGACATGTGAGATATTGTGACCACACTCAGCGGTCAGTGCACATAATTAAAAAACTGTGTGCGCAAAAGGGTTGGTGTTAATTGTGCCATAATTGCTAATTATTGGGAGATTAATTCTAATTTGGTACAGGAATTTGGGAAGCAAAGTGGCAATTACATGGAGGGGAGGATCAATATGAGGGAGCAGAGGCTGAACATTCCGTTGAGCATAGCAAGGAGGTACTTGAGTGGACCTGGATCGTCACCGCCTCGGTGCACATCCAAGTGCGGCAGGTGCACCCCGTGCAAGCCGGTTCACGTGCCGGTGCCACCTGGGACGCCGGTGACGACAGAGTATTACCCGGAGGCTTGGAGGTGCAAATGTGGCAACAGGCTGTACATGCCATGAAAATGTATGAATAATGATCATATATCATGATTCATGCTTAATGATATTATTTTGTTTGTGTTACAACTAAAGTCTCTACTTTCTAGCCTGATCATGCTTATTGTTAATCAAAAAAGGAATATTTATAGGACTTCAATTTGTGTAGAAAAATATATATACGTTAACAATTTGACCGAGTATATTGTATTATGATCGGTATGGAAAATATTGTGCCAAGCATTATTGTGGCTGTGTTTTGAGTTCATTTACATGATGCTTGAGAAGGAAATGGTTGTTGCTTCTTTCTGCAGGTTGAAACCTCCTAAAGCGATAGTGCCTCAAATTGTGGTAATGGGTTAATTGATATTTCAAACAAATAGAAGTTTAATTTTATTGTACAACACTTTGAACATGGACCTCCAAGTCCTGATATCAACTCATGCCTCACGTGGTTATAATGCCGTAATATTTTCTTTTCTTTTTTTTGGTAAAATAAGGGGGATTAATCTCTAGACACACAAAAATTAAACGACAGAGAGTACGAGTTCTAGAAACTCTTAACAAATCATCATCAAAGGTAGCCTCAACCCAGCTAGGAATCTCATCATACTACCGTAATATTTTCTCCTTTTCGAGGCCAAACTAGATCAATTTCTAGACCTTTTTCTTTTTAAAGGCTTTGCTGCTTTAAATTTTGATGGAAACATGAAATTGGCTTTGAGCACAAATCCAGCATTTAACCATCTATTGTCAAGAAAAATGAAAGGTGTGGGCCTTGGTTTCTTTTCCTTCGCCAAAATGGGCCCCGTTAAGAAGGAACAAGCTCTTATTTGAATCTTTTTAATGGGCCTTGCTCCTTATATCTAACATGTTTTCTTTTTACTAAACGTTACAAAGGCTTAACGTCTTTTAAATATTAGAAAGAAAAATATCATTAGACTAATAGTCAATTGATTAACGTATCATTAGCGTTAACTTTTGAGTATGGACCTCACCTTTCCTCTGAAATTGGACATGGGTTTGAAAAGGAAGTACTTTGTTTATATGTATATAATAATCCTTTTACTCACCACTTGATTTTCAAATTTCAAAGGGGCCAATTGCGTGTTATAGCGGCACAAAAATGTAGAGCATAGTAGCCACTTGTAAATATCCCAAATATACATGTGGGCGGTGGGTAATCATATATAATAATAAGAAATAGTAGTTGTCAAAAAGTCTACCTATACACATTACTTGACGTGGCGGTTTTATTCGTTTATTTATTTGGGTCAAAAATGGTTTCATTGACTGGGAGACCAAGATGTTTGGTGTACAATAATTGATAAACAAACCCCATATTTTCCATGTTTTAAAGAGAAATTACCGTCTACCCAAAATTTGTTACTTCAATATAATATAAAGTTAGAACCGTGCTAGCACGATTGTTGATACGAACATTTAAACTGTTAATGCAAGTGAGTTTCACAGCACATTTTGAATACAATTATTCTGGTGTAACAATTAACGGTAGCGCGACTCAATATTTAATTTGTGGCGTTGTTGGAAGACCAAACAAAAGGGATATGGACAAAACTAGGGCAATAAGAGATCGAAGAAGACGACAATAGACGGGATACATAGGGACCCCTTGGATTGATGGTGAAGTTGAAGTAAGAAAGAACCACGAAGTTTCAAGCAATGTTTTCACTGTTCATGCAGTCCCTATTTTGCTCACGTGACGTGACTCGTCTGGAAATGAGGGCACGCGGCACGCGTATGGACTATCAACCACGACGACCACCAGCTTTGTTGGTTTGGTACACTCAGAGTCACTCGCCTTTTACTTTTGAGGATTCTTTTCTTTACCATGAGAGAGCTCGTGGACAAGAAAATTTGTTGCGTAGGACGCCATGTCGTGTAGTGAAGCCTCGTGTTTTTTTTTTTTGGTCTGAACCACGAGGTGGTCCTGGATGGGCTCCAACTATGGATGGCACCTTTAAGCCTTAACCGAAGCCTCGTGTTTTTTACTTGTTATTAAAAGCACAATCCCAACTTAAAACATATTTTAATATTGAAAAAGAAATACTAATAAATTGAGTCTGTGCAGGAGTGTTTTTGAAAGAACTAACAGCGTTTTCTGACTATCAGAAAAATATACAAGTACTTTTAGGTTATAAAAGCGCTTTTTAGAGAAGCACTTGAAAATCAAAATCTAATCTAACACCAAAATTAATAATAGTTTATAAATAAATAAAAAGTTCTTTTTAAACACGATAATCTAAACTTTCTTCAGTTTTCATATAATTCACTTGAAAAATTGCACATAAGACAAGATTTCTTCCCCTATCTCCTTGAGAAAATCTAAAATTGCTTGTAAGTTTGAGGGATGAGGAGATAGAAATTGCATGTGAGTTTTGTTTCCTAGGAAAAGGATAAAAGCTAACCACTCACCACCTAAAAGAAAGGGATTGAATTAAATTGTACTATACTTGTGAGATGTCAATGTCAACCGATCACCTGGCTCTTGTAGCTTAAATAATCCCTTTCTGACATCAGTCACTGTGGTTCCTTGTTCCTTTTCAAAACCACATGTATATCCATGACTTTATATTTTATTATCCAATTGAATTGCGATTTGCATGCCATGCATTTCAAAACTCAAGCTTGGCCCTTGGCCATTCATTACTGTACTGTTGGGGGCCCGATTCATTAACGCCTTCATATACATATATGGTTGGTTGACCAAAATAAAAAAAATAAAAATACATATATGGTTGACGTTACAGTACAAGAACAATAAGCTTGTGGCTCCTGTGTTTAATTAATTATTTATTTAATGCAACATTTGAGTTGGAGATGTTCAACTTTCAAAATTTGGGTCCAAAAAGTTTATGAGTAGGATACGTTTATGTAAAATGTCCAATTCGTCCTGTTTCTAGTTCCAACTTTCTATATTAATATATATATTTTTTTTTTTTGGTAAATATCAAGAGGTGTTTGAGCCAACTTGCGTGCGTCTCGACTAATTTTCATCCGCAAAACTGAACTTGTTATTAGTCACAAACAGGTGTTGCATGTCAAGATCAACTAGTATTCGATCTTAATATTCAGACTATATTCAAAGTAACCAACTGCGTGGCGTGTCGAGATCGACTAGTAAACTTTCTTTCGAAAAAGTCTCAATAATAACTTAATGAGAAAGCTAGAGTTCCAAACCTAACACTCCAATCAATTTAACTACCGTGTGTTATTGCTACGACTAAATCGTCCCCCATGCCATGTATAAGCATCAAGTACACATAAATACGTATGCAATACGTCTCCCTTGTTTATTTCCTTTATACTCTGTATTTTTAAGTCGTCATGCTTAAATTCAAAATTCCTAACATGTTGGTCCATACAAATTACAATTAAAAACTTGTTGACCTTTAAACACCGCCCCAAAATAATCTATGACTAATTTTAAGACATTTTGGTACCGACTTTGCAGTCCATTTTGGTACTCGATTAATTTAATCTAATTAAATATATTCTCACATCAGTTGCTCCTGGTCCTCACTATATAGTTGAAGTCGCAATTTATAGCAACCCCTAAGAGGAGAAATTCTCAAGTAAGACGAATATTTTTCGAGTAGACTAGCATTACGGGTGACGTATTTTTTCATCTTATTGGATAATGTGATAGTATATGAGGTTATTGGATTTACTGTGTGAATAACTTAATTCTTGATACCATATTAGAATGTGAGCATTCAACCGAGAATCAATTGATAATGAACGAAGAACGAAAATAGTGAATTAATTTGCATTGGCTTATGACTTTAGTAAGTATTTTTTTAATATTCGAGTAATGTTCAAACTTCTTTGAACAAGGCTTTAATTGAACACCTAGAAAACAGTATTTTTCAAGACCTAAAAAAGCAGAGTTAAGGTGGCGCAAAATAATGTTTCAAAATTTTCCCCCAAAAAAAAAAAAAAAAAAAAAACAGAATGGGGAAAAGAAAAGAACAAAATGGAAAATCAAAATAATGGCTGGCTGCAAGTGCTCGCGAGATTATCTTTTCAATTGTATGAGAAGATAAGCCACTTTTCCATCAGCCAAACAAACTTCATCATCTTTCCCAAATGAAACTGATCACTCTCCCTTTTCCACTATCATGCTCCTCAAATCCCACCCTCCTCCGCTTCAAATTCAAACCCCAATCATCTCTAAACCCAACTCTCGATTTCCCCAAATCCCAATCCCCACAAAACCCCGCCAAATCCCCTGCTATAATCATAGGCGGCGGCCTCGCCGGACTCGCCGCGGCCACCCACCTAAACTCTCAAAACACTCCTTTCCTCCTTCTCGAAGCCTCCGACGCCGTCGGCGGCCGCGTTCGAACAGACGTCGTCGAAGGCTTCCTCCTTGACCGCGGCTTCCAAATCTTCATCACTGCCTACCCGGAAGCCCAGAACCTTCTCGACTACAATGCCCTGAATCTCCGCAAATTCTACTCAGGCGCCCGCATTTACTACGATGGTCGGTTCCACACCGTAGCCGACCCGCTTCGCGATTTCTGGGCCTCCGTCAAGTCCCTCGCCAACCCAATCGGATCAATTCCAGATAAATTGCTCATCGGATTGACGAGATTTCGGGTCTTGACGAAATCGGACGAGGAGATTTTCTCTTCCGGGGAAGAAGTATCCACGATGGAGCTGCTGAGTAAAATCGGGTTTTCCGATTCGGTTATCAGCCGATTCTTTCAGCCTTTTTTCGGCGGCATTTTCTTCGATAAAGAGCTTGGGACGACGTCCAGGTTGTTCGATTTCATCTTCAAGTGTCTAGCCCTCGGCGACAACACGCTCCCATCCAACGGCATTGGTGCGATCCCCCAACAATTGGCGGCAAAATTGCCGTCCGATTCCCTCGTTTTCAATTCCCGCGTCGTTTCAATTGATTTCGACGACGACGACGAGTCTTTGTCGTCGCCCAGCGTGAGACTGGAGAGTGGAGAGGTTTTGAAAAGCGAGCTCGGAGTGATAGCAGCAGTTGAACAACCTGAGGCGAATAAGCTTTTAGCGGGAAAGGTATACGAACCGGCTCGAATCAAACCGGCTCGAAGTACTGTTTGTTTGTATTTCAATGCAGACCGAGCCAACATTCCAGTCAGCGACCCGGTTCTGTTTCTCAATGGATCGGGCAAGGGTATTGTGAATAATATGTTTTTCGCAACCAATGTGGCTCCTTCTTATGGCCCAGCAGATAAGGCTTTGGTATCGGTTTCGCTTGTCGGAGATTTTGAGGGCGTGGATGATGATGATCTGACGACACAAGTTGTTCGGGAGCTCTCAGATTGGTTTGGGAGTTCAATGGTGAGATCATGGAGGCACTTGAGAACGTATCGGATTAAATTTGCACAACCAAATCAATGTCCGCCGCTCAATTCAACGAGAGACCCTCGAGTCGGGTTGGGTGTGTACGTGTGTGGTGACCATTGGACCACTGCCACATTTGATGGCGCTTTGGTTTCGGGAAGGAGAGCGGCGGAAGCTTTACTTAGAGATAATGCCTTGAGTCGGGTTGATTAGGCTTATTACTTCTTCCTCTCTTTTTTTTTTTCTTTTTCTTTCCAATTACACTTAATTTGTTGAAAATTGTATATTCCAACTTCTCTTTTATTAATTTACACTCCCTAAACCTATTGTAACGCTCAAATTCTCAAAATACCTATTATTTTTGCGGAGAAATCAATGTTGGAAGGGATTGCGCTCACACCCCTAAGTCGTGCTATATATATATACATATTGGGGAACATTTCTGTTGTGATTACTTCATGAGCACATCAATACATCATGGCATTACTGTGCTCACAAGTTGTTTGATATTGTTACGCGCTTCCATGATTTCAAAACAAAACAAAAATGGAGTCCTTTACAGAAACCATTATTGTGGTGAACATTCAAAATTCTCATCGCAAATGGGGAACACAAAATAAGCCTTCATCATAGATATTTTATTATACCTTCTTGCAATTATCAGATACGATTTGTCCTTATGCCTGCCCATATGGTTACATAAAGGGTACATACAATAATTATAGCGGTGCTATTCTTGTTTAGGCAACCTCTTACCTCATTTTAACAGCGTCACTGCTTTACAAACCAAGGTAGGTTACCAATCTTTACCCCATTCAAAGTCTAGATTTCAATGTTATCTATGTTATGGTCATGGTTGACCTGTCACCTGTTTTGATACATTACAAGCCACACGAATATCAACGACTCACAACAACTTACGACATCGTGAACAACTAATACTAGCACAATCCTTAGAGAGAAATGAATAGTTTTACTTTTACTGTTTTTACTTACTTGATGCAGGAGCATAAGAGTGGATCAAGATAAATATTTACCATTTAATTAGTTATTTCTTGATATATTGTTATTTTCTTATTTATGTAGTTTTAGGATATCTTTTATTATTTATGTGTGATTTTATAATTAATTAGTTTACTTTTGGACCAATCAGTCTTGGTGCCCAAGTCTTGTAAAACTTATAAATAAGGCTATTGTAATAGTTGTAGAGATGAGAATATTGATGATTAATGAAATAGTTTATTTGTGGCATGGATTTGCTACGATATATGTGAGTTTGCACTAGTCCTAGATTTCGGTGCTCGTGTATGTGGTTGGTGACCTGTGTCATGACCTCGATCCCCATCAATTGGTATCAGAGCTATGGCTCAAGATCTGCTTTATCGGGGAGCTATGGCCCAAATTTAATAACTTTGATGAATAACAAGATGCACCGAAATTACCAAATCTATTTATACCTTCAAAGACACAATGAGAATAACCGTGCCCCTCTTCACTTGACTCACACAGCGAAGCGCAATAATGAAAAGGGTTATCCCCCTCGTACTCCCCGTCGAGACTCCCACGGCTTAGAGTGTCGATGCGAGCTACTCGGTTCAGATAAGGGTTCACGCATCTCTCCCCGTCAGAACTCTTACCTATTTGGGTTCGAGCTTCGATGTGAGCAACGCGCTTCGTAAGTTGCTGTAGCATCCTCCTAATTTTCTCCATGTCGTTGTAGTTGTCAATACGACCCTCCATCCAAAAACCTCCCTGATAAAGCAGATCTTGAGCCATAGCTCTGATACCAATTGATGGGAATCGAGGTCAGGACACAGGTCACCAACCACATACACGAGCACCGAAATCTAGGGCTAGTGCAAACTCACATATATCGTAGCAAATCCATGCCACAAATAAACTATTTCATTAATCATTAATATTCCCATCTTTTACAACTATTACAATAGCCTTATTTATAGGTTTTACAAGACTTGGGCACCAAGATTGCTTGGTCCAAAAGTAAACTAATTAATTATAAAATCACACATAAATAATAAAAGATATCATAAAACTACCTAAATAAGAAAATAACAATATATCATGAAATAACTAATTAAATGATAAATATCTATCTTGATCCACCTTATGCTCCTGCATCATTACTAGGATTATTAAACAGGCTTGTATAGTTTTACTGAAAACACTCACGTGCACGCTGTAGTTAACGTATAACCGCGGGCGGCACCGACGTGTCAATATTCTAGGCACCGCCGTGTTGGTAACTCTCGTACCAACCCCGTCTCTTTCGTCTTTCAAACTACGACAAAAGCCGCAGCATGTGGAAGCCAATCTCTTCCATGCCCCTCCACAGAATTAAAAAACCAGTATTTATATTTTAGTTTTAAAAAAATAAAAATAATTCAAACAAAAAAGGGTGTTTTGCTTATTTATTTATTTATTTATTTTTGGGCTTGCAATAATCACATAGTTAATTCTCTCCCGCGTATGATAATATCCTCCCCATTTTAAAAGCCAAACGCCAACAAACTCAACCTCTACCGAAGCTTCTACCGAAAAACTCTCCATTTCTTGAAACCTCTCAAAACCTCCACCTTTTCCTCTAAATTTAAACTCCCATCCTCCTCCGACGAAAATCCCTAAATTCCGAACCTCCTTTCTCTCTATATCTCTGTCTCTGTCTCTCTCTTTCAACCAATCAAAACCCATAACCCTGACCGACCCGACACCCGGTTCGGTCTCTTCCCGGCATCCCACGATGCCAGAGATCGAACAGCAGCAGCAGCAGCCTCCCCAGGGGCCTCCGCCAGCGCCACGCATCCCTGACAATGCCCTGTTCGGGAAATACGAGCTGGGCAAGCTCCTCGGCTGCGGCGCCTTCGCCAAAGTCTACCACGCGCGCAATGTCCGCACCGGCCAGAGCGTCGCCGTCAAGGTCATCAACAAGAAGAAGCTTACCGGCACCAGCCTCATGTCCAACATCAAACGCGAGATCACTATCATGAGCCGCCTCCGCCACCCCAACATCGTCAAGCTCTACGAGGTCCTCGCCTCCAAGACCAAGATCTACTTCGTCATGGAGTTCGTCAAGGGCGGCGAGCTCTTCGCTAAGGTCTCAAAAGGCCGATTCTCAGAGAATCTCAGCCGTAAATACTTCCAGCAGCTCATCTCCGCCGTCGGTTACTGTCACTCCCGCGGGATCTACCACCGCGATTTGAAGCCCGAGAATTTGCTCGTCGACGAGAACGGGAATTTGAAGGTTTCGGATTTCGGGCTCAGCGCCGTGACGGACCAGATCCGACCCGACGGGCTCCTCCACACGCTTTGCGGGACTCCCGCTTATGTGGCGCCGGAGATTTTGACGAAGAAAGGCTACGATGGAGCGAAGGTGGATGTGTGGTCATGCGGCGTCATACTCTACGTGCTGAACGCTGGGTATCTGCCGTTCAACGACCCGAATCTGATGGCGATGTACAAGAAGATTTACAAAGGCGAGTTCCGGTGCCCGAAATGGATGTCGTCTGATCTGAAGCGGTTCTTGGGCCGCCTCATGGATACGAACCCGGCGACCCGGATCACGGTCGACGAGATCTTAAAGGACCCATGGTTCAGAAAAGGCGGGTACAAGGAGATCAAGTTCTACGACGAAGATTGCTCCATGGACGACAGCAAAATTGGAGGAGGCGAGGAGGACCAGAAGGTCGTCACGAGCCTGAACGCGTTCGATTTGATATCGTTCTCGGCCGGACTGGACCTGTCCGGGCTGTTCGACGACCATTCGTACGGCTCGGCGGAGGACGGTGAGCGTTTCGTGTTGGAGGAGACGGTGGAGAAGGTGGTGGAGAGAGCGGAGGCGTTCGCGAAGGCCGAGAAATTGAGGGTGAGGAGGAAGAAGGAGTGGGGTTTGGAGATGGAGGGGCAGAATGGTAATTTGGCAATCGGGGTCGAGGTTTACAGATTGACTGAGAATCTCGTGGTGGTGGAGGCTAGGAGGACAGGTGGCGACGCTGGACCTTACAGGGAGATGTGGAAGAACAAGCTCAGGCCTCATCTGATGTGCCCAGATGATCACGAGATATCACCACCATTACCAACTCCTTCTTCTTCGTCTGCCGCTTCTTCGTCCTCGTCGCTTGCCCAGTTGATTGACTGAACATCGGTGATCCCAAACGACAGGTCGTTTTTTGGATGTAAATAAATAAATAATTAATTCCACGGAAATGGGTTGGTTACAACTTACAGACAAAAAAGAAAAAGAAAAAGGAATTATGGTGGTGATGTGTTGTCGTGCTTGCGTTTTTTTGTACGGGGAGGGATTAATAAAAGAGATTACTAGACGATTTTGTAATCTGGGATATATATGGGATTAGATCAAAAGATTATAATAGTCAGTTAATAGACAATTGTACAAGTTGTTGTACAGAAGAAGACTGTGTGTAAGTGATGAGGAGGGCAACACCAACAGAGAATGAAGGGTTAGATTTAACTCTAATCTTACTCTGACTCTTTTTTGCAATGCATCTTGTATAATTGTATTAATTCATTGTTTGTATTTTCAAAATATTCATATCTTTGTTCATATTGATTTATTTTTTCTTCTCAAAACGAGTTTAGTAACTAGTTCTTAGTCTAGTAGCATTTTTGTTTTCCAATGAAAGAAAAGATTTCAAGTTCGAATCTTAGGAGATTTCCAAGTACGAATCTTCGGTTTGAGCTGAATTAGGGATGAGAGGGATTGAGATGATATGATGGAGTAATATCAATTATGGACCAGCAGCCAGATTTCTACCTAGGATTTCATTGAATTGGTCTGAGCAGCAGGCACCATAATCATATAATAAATAATAAAAAAAAGAAATAGGTTTAATGGTTAGCTTACCTGTGTTCTTAGAGGCAAAATGATTAAAATACACATGGAATGGAAATTCGTAGGCCAAGCCAATCACCAGTAGGTGAGGGTAAAGGTAATACTAGTCAATGATTTGATTCAATTATTTGGTTCCAGACTAGAGTGGTTGGAATATTTGCCAACGGCAAACATGTTATAGATTGCTTTGCGACAGACTAATCTGCTGCATTATTGTATTGCAGTACAGTTTTCAATGCATTGTTTTGTGCCCATTACTTTAATTATTAAGCCAGAAAGCAGTAATTATAGGTAATCATACAAGTAGGGCCAAAGCAAAACGAAAGGCATCAATCAATCAAAAGATTCGTTCATTTGGGGCAGTGGAGTTGGGAGGAAGCTAGAGGCCTGTGAAGCAAATTGCTAGTCACACCAACCCAGAAAAGAACAACTAGTCCAGTTTGAGGACCAGCCAATTCCAACCTAATTGGGCCTTGGTTAAAGCCGAGTTATCTAAAGAGGATATCCAGTCCATTAATCTAATACTATT